AGGCACATGCGGGTTTAAACACAGGGGAAATTTTGTGTGGAATGATTACTCTTTCTCTGGTTCTTTGCATTTTAAAATTTCACTCGCAGACAGACTCCGATGTGATTATATCAACAAAATCGGTGTCAGGTGCAAATGGCTTTGAGCTTCCCCTCAACAATACCAGTTGAGTTTTCAACACTTGAGATTTCCTCTGGGACAGCCATTCCATATTACCAATCTATAAAAAGAAGCAAATTGCCTGCTTGCACAGCCAAACCGCCGTTTGACAGGGACTCTGGGCTGCTTCTCATGGTCGCTATTAAAGCTCTGGGTGGTGTTTTCCTCCGGGGCCTGACAGGCAGACTTCAGACTGCCCCCACCCTGCCTGCTGGATGCCAGGATCAGCCTACAAACAGCCACGCCGGCTGTGGACGGCTTGTTCGCTACTGCCTGAGAGGTGCGTGGAAACAAGATACAACTGTGTACATAAGTATTTCCAATTTCTTTACACATCTCAGCAGTCTGTGGGACTCTGTCTAAGAAGTGGAATTCGAGCCTGGAGGGAGGAAACACTGGGAGTAGTAGTTAAGTGCTGCCTGCTGATGAGGACACTGGATGAATGTTCAACAGATCTGGAAAGTAATACAAATTCTAAATGTTTGTCTATGTGTAGGCCTACTTTTTGGTACTTCACTGCGATTTCTTTGAGAATTAAAAGGCTTTAAAACATTTAGACCATCACAGGAGGCTGAAATTTTCCACTGACACCAGAGCTGATGAAATTTCTCATGGTGGGTTTGCAACTCCAGGTGACCCACAGCCCTGGTTAACTGAAAGGGGAAACTCTGATGCCGTGTTACAGATCATGTGGCTTTAGACAGGATTTTAGAAATCCTGAGGTCATGAGTCCAACATCCCCTCACCCCTGTCCCACAAGAACTTTTTGACTAATCACCAAAAAAAGCACATTTTCTGTAGTTTGACAAAAAGCACACAAATACTCAAATAGACGTTAGATGTAAATAGATGTATAGTTTTTGTTTATAGTCAAAGATTTTGAGAAGCATTTCCACCACAAAAGGGTTGTAAATGAACCTTAACATTAAGATACTTTGGACTATTCTAGAAATTAACCCTCATGCTCATTATTTTCCAAAAAGTAAATATCCCTACAAGCCCTTTTCAGGCCGAGAACGTAATTCTCCAATATCTGACTGGAAATTTCACCCTTGAGCTGCTGAATAAAGTTGTATTGAAAAGCTCGAGTCAATCAAAAGCAGAATGTAAATTTGCCAGCAGCTTGCATTAAAATGTTGTAAGTGCTGAGCAGGCAAACTATTGCAATGCTATTGTTATACTTAATTTTTTATATATATATGTATATATATATATATATATATACATATATATATATATATATATATATATATATATATATATATATTATATTTATATATGTATATGTTAATTGTGATGTTTGAAAAACAATGATTATCATGGACTGATCAATCCACAGAAAGGATACACATTTAAATTGTCACGTGATGGCCATATGTGAAGTTGTGTCGACTGTCTGTGATATCTACATAGCTGGGGGGTCCTACAAACGCTGGCTCCATTAGGTGTGTGTCAGTCCACAGTATGCAGTAACAGCTACAGCAACAGCTGCGTCTTCTTCCAGCCACTCCCGCGTCATTGTTGCCTGTTATGACAGAGCTATTGAACCTAAGTTAGCCTGAAAAGGCCCCGCTGGCAGAGAGTTGGTGCACAACGACACGCAAAGTTACACAGCGCTAGCCGTCTCTGAGCGACCTTTGCCATGTCGCACACTTACACTTTTCTCTGTTAGCCAATCAATTTTGGCAACAACAAGGCAAGGCGATGGCAGCTTTGTTACTGTCAGTGCTGAACATAATAACTCTAATACTTAGTGTCACTTCCATATGAGGAGAGCAGGGAGGCTTTAATTAGAAGACGCCATGGCAACAGTGAGCATGTTTAGGTTAGGTTACTATGAGGTGAAACAGACAGCTTCCATTTCAGTGAGATATCTTACATTAGTCAGGCAGTTTGAGCTGCTGTAAAGATAGTCAGGCTGTTTAGAGACAAAGTGGCAAACAGTGAGATTATACATGACTGCTGGGCTTCATCTTGTACTGAACCTTTTAAAAAATACATTCCAAATAGGAAATGAAGCCTGTGTTCGTCACAATAGAAGCAAAATAATCAAATATTGTTGACTGAAATCCTAAAAAGCAGTGCAGAGAGTACTGCATCACTGCTGTACACAGTTTAAAGGACAATCCCCATTTCTTAATACAGGGTATTGAATAGTTCTGGCCAGTTACTTTGGTGAGTACAATGCAGGACAGGGACATTAAAAAGAAATTGTCATTGGGTTTTGCAAAATCTGCTAATATCAACATTCTGTGTGGCAGTACGGTCGGCACAACCCCACACTCCTAAGACATGTTTGACCAAACAACAAAATAACTAAAATGTTATTTTCTCACATTTTATTTATTTGATTGTTCATTGTCATTTTTTTCTATTTTTTTTTTATCCTTACATGATGGTCTAAATGGCGTTCCCCGTCACAGCCAGGAAGTTCATTCTGCTGAAGAAATACAAAATCCCTTTGTCTAAAAACTTTAAAGAATGCCAGAATACACCTTTAAAAAAATTGTGGACTGCGTGCTCCTCTCAGGCTCCCTAAAATGTCAACATTTCCAGAAACATTACTGAGGACAGCAGACACAGAGGTAACCACAGTGTTACAATGTTGTCATACTCAAATGCTGTTCACTGAAAACCTAAAACTGTGTATGTTTCACCAAAGCCTCTGAAATCCTGTCTCTCACACAGACTGACGGATAGCGACGTAATGATGGTGTCATACAAACACTTTATGATAAAGGTAACATTAATCCAGATTAATTCGGCCATCATTAGTTATACACTGCTATGCAGGACTCTGTGTATCAAGGGCAAAAAGGATTAGCTGCAATTTGCATAATAAACAGGCCAAACAAACAAACAAACAGAAAAAGCAGTGGCAAATAAACCTTGAAGTGAGTCCTTGTCTGCTTCTGTCCATTTTTATGTACACAGTTTATTAATCATTATTTGTTGGCCATAATTACAGCTGTTTTGCTTGTTGGGAAGTAATGGAGATTAATTAGTGACCTGCAACAAATGCTGTATGTATAAAGGGATAATGAGCTCCGCTTTATGCTTTAATTTTTAAGTGATATGCCAAGTCATCCAAGAAAGTGGGAAATTAACTTTAGACTTTTAAATTGTGTTCCTTTGTTTATCTTTGCTTGTTATTTAAGACCCCCGGCGATTGCATCTTGAAAGTCTGAAAGTCTCTCAAGCAGCAGAGCAATAATGAATCAGGCCCTGTCGTGGGAATGGCCCTTCTCAGTGGGACTGTCCCTCACTTACGGTGACCTTCCACAGATTAAAACCACCATAACGTCTCGCCATCAGATCCTATATTTGGCTCACACACTGTCACAAATTAACCGAGTAATACTTATGTATCTGTGTGCTTTATTTTCTTCATATTGTCATTCTTTTTCTCCATATTGTAGTTCAACCTCCTCTATGTTTGTCTGTTTCCCCCATTGTTGCTTTTCCTTAATTTTCCTTTCTTTCCCCCATTTAATGTTTTAATTTTTTCATGTTTTTTTGTGGCGTTTTCTCTTATCTGAATTAAGGATAGAGGGTATGTTGTACAAATTGTAAAACCCTCCGAGATTGAAATTTGTGATAATGGACTATATAAAGAAAACAACTAATTTTACTTTTTTCTCCACTACTTTTCAAGGTACATTTATTAGTCATTCTACAACACATGGCTGCACAATGAAATTAAAGGATCTTTTGTGCTGATGGTGAAGAATCTGCACATATCCAGTGGTGGCGGTACCATTCGTGGGCTGATTACTGTAGTGGGAGTTAGCTTACAACTTACTGTGAGCTTTGGAGCCGCAGAGCTGAGCGTTTAGAGTCTCCTCATACACACACACTCACAGTCTGTTAATATCAAGTCCACAGTGGGGGGGCATGAACAATAATGGATATATTCTGTGCAGGTGATTAGTGTAAATGCAGACTATGTGTGTTAAACAGAGTTGCAAAAATCCTAACTGTCAAAAGGCAGCGGTGGAAAGTAACTAATTAATTAATGGCAAATTAAAATGTTCTCAAATATTGTAATTATTTTGATGTACTTATTTTATAATTCAACTGCAAGGCAAATCTTAATTTTTTTACAAAAAAAGTTCCTATAATATTGTAAAAAAACAAAACAAAAACAAAACCCCCACACACACACATTAAAAATGCTTTGTGCATGGGGAGGCCCTAAGCTGCCTATAGTTTTCCTCTGTGACTGGCTCCGGCAAGTGTGGCCCCACGTCCTCCTCCAGGTCAGGATATAGTCAGATCACTGCATAATTCATCACCCAGGATATAAGAGTCGAAAATCTGTTTTGAATGAAAAACGCTAAATTCACCAGGAGCTTTAAAACATAATCACATGTCAGCAACAAGAAGGAAATGCCTCTATCCTGCTCGAACGTGTGTTTGGATGAAAGTGGAGCTTGTGTTAAAACAGTAAAATAGTTTCTGATCAAAACTTTTACCATAATAAGAAAATAAAAGAAAGAAAAAGACGGTGGAGCTCTTTCTGCCTCTCTCTTCCTCTTGGCATAGCCTTTTGTGGTGTGCGCATGTGTTAGTATCGAGACACCAACTGCACTCCAGCATCCCTTGCCCTTTTCCTGAAGAAAACCGAAAATATCTGACCAAAGTTGTGACAACATTTCCTCCGCCGTGCATTCCCCCTAAAACCCTTCCCACTCCAAGCGCCTATTGGCCCCCAGTTGTCGTGACGTTTCCTTTTCCGCGTTACGATTGGACAATCCCTCCGCCTGTCTCCTTGACTGACATCCCCGGAGCCACAGTCTCCTCCCAGCCTTAGCAGACGCTATTTGAGTGGGGACCAGCGGATTGTTGTACATAGAGCCGGTTTAGTGTCGTCAATGGGAAGCACACAAGACGGTGGCAAAGCGAGTTACGGTCTAGATTGAAATCCGCGGCTGCACCATGCTCTCCAGGTCTATCTCGTGTCTTTGGATTACATTTTGCCTTCATGTATGCTGTTATGTAGACGGCGGGCAAGCTCAGAATGCGAAGGAAGGTAAGTTGTTAAAGTTTGGACTCTTCCATCCCATCGCATTTGGAAGACATCCTCCACAGTGAGAGGTTTCCAAATCCGGCAGACAGTTTCCTTGTTTTTTTTCTATTTTCTCTTTAAATCCCGCGTTGTCTTTAAATAACTCAAAATGTGGATGTTTTTTTTGTACCCAGTGCTGTCAAACGAGGCCGGTGTGCGGGGGTGACAGCGATGTCTGCTCCCGGACCTCGCCGTGTTTTTACGCACCGCAATCAAACGCTGTAGAACATGGATTAGACGCAGGAGCTCTTGTTTATATTTTTCTCTAGCGCTGTTGGCACAACTAGCCTGCTGGTTAAAGATTCACAATCTAAGCACAACAAACCAGGTAGGCAAATGTCAGCGGGTCGATCGTCCCAGCAGGCTCGCTGCCCTGAAAGTGTGCGCCGGTGATGTGGCCGCAGTTTCGGAGGGCTATTTCCTCCTAAGTGGCCTCGGCTCTAACAGTCCTGTCTAGTCTTGTTTCTTGGAAAGAGAACATCAGATTGATGCAGAGCCGTAATCTCCCTCAGACGCTCAAATTGGCCAGAACAAATGCTATAAAACACCAAAAATAAGAGGAGATTTAAGAACTCCAAATGGCTGAAAATGGACACTTTTAATTGATCGGATTGTGGTTCAATGTAATTATGTTAGGGTACACGTAAACCATTAAATCACTTGGCAGATATTGATTTTACAGCATAATAACAGCGCGGTCTGGATGTCGATTATAGCTGATGGGAATTGTAAATAGTCGGTGTTTCACAGACCTCCATATCCGACAGTCTCCTGTAAAATATGACCGGAGCATTATTATTATTTATTTTTTTTACTGCGGCTGCTGCTCGCTCTCATGATGGAACTGTCTGCTGATATTAGGCACAATTAAACAACTTCATTTTTTTTAAAACCGCCGTGGTGCAGCTTTGCGCTCTCGCACGCTTCCAGAACATAAAGCAGACTGGTTTGACAAATCTCCTTCACAGATCAAAAACTGCAAATACGCCGCTTTTGATGTGGTTTCGCTGTCGTTTTAGGGCCGTGTTGAGCTGAAATTATACCTGACTTTGTTGGCTACTGTATGTGGGACCTTAACGCAACAACTCCCACACGTTAGTTTTAATAAACTGGTGCGTAAAATAAACCCACATTTAATGGACTACGTGGCTTTTATCTCATGCGTAATTATTCCAATAAATCTACACATTTGACTAGCAACCCAATAGACTTAATTTATTCTTTAAGCGCATTGCCAGTGTCTTAATTTGTCTCCCAGAAAGTTCCCCCGCAGACATTAGGACCTGTCTGCTACGCTGTCTATATTCTTACAGAATGTTTTTGCTTTAACTGCTGCTGCTAGAAATTAGGTCACTGGTATATGTACGCTATAGATACCGATGTGTGGCCTATCAGTAATACCCAGCCCTGGTGCCCCGGTGAGATTTAACCACCTGCCTCTCGGTTTCCTGTCACTAGTGATTCTGCTGGACTCCAAGGCACAGCAGACAGAACTGGAGTGGATCTCCTATCCTCCCAATGGGGTAAGTCTGCAGAATCTCTGCATCGCTGGCACGCGGATGTACTCCATATCTATATTTCCCCCCAGCTTCCTCTGATGTGATACATCTGTGATATGAATAATAATATTTAACTGAGGCGCAAAGCATACTTAAGGGTAATTTCTCTATCATGTCTATTTCTCTGCTCACATAAGTCTCTCCAGAGTAAAAGATAAAGAATGCAAGAGGTTGTTTCTGCCACTAAACTCGCCCTGCTTTTGACTTGCAGAGCACAAAGGCTTTAAGCAAACCACTTCCATCTTGCTAGTCTGATTAAAAGCAGGCTGTGAGAAACTTTTTAAATAAATAATGTGAGCAGAAGCAGGTAAACTGAGCACATTCGTTCTTTAAAGATGCGTTTGTGCGATAAAAATGCAGCGGCTTTCTCCCTTCATTCACTGCAGTTTATAGTATACTGTAGTACTGTCTGAAATGACATAAAATGAAATATATCATGCCTTTGTCATATTCATTACAGTGTAATCACCGCCACTTTGATTGCCAGTCATTAGATGCGTATTTCAGTGTGATGGCTTTCACATCTAAATTCAATAAGATGTCGCTCTTTAATGTATTCATTTATGTCTTCTTTCAGTGGGAAGAGATCAGCGGCTTGGATGAGAACTACACACCCATTCGCACATACCAGGTTTGCCAAGTCATGGAGCCCAATCAGAATAACTGGCTTCGGACTAACTGGATAGAGAAGGGCAATGCCCAGAGAATTTTTGTGGAACTGAAGTTTACCCTGAGGGATTGTAACAGCCTACCCGGAGTGGTGGGCACTTGCAAGGAGACGTTCAACTTGTATTACCAGGAAACAGATTCGGAGGTGGGCAGGAGCTTACGGGAGAACCAGTACGTGAAAATTGATACCATCGCCGCAGATGAAAGCTTCACTCAGGGCGACCTGGGCGAGAGGAAGATGAAGCTAAATACAGAAGTGCGCATAATTGGCCCCCTGTCCAGACGGGGCTTCTACCTGGCCTTCCAGGATGTAGGGGCGTGTATCGCCCTGGTCTCTGTCAAAGTGTATTACAAGAAGTGTTGGTCTATCATCGAGAACTTGGCCACGTTCCCAGACACCGTGACTGGATCAGAGTTCTCCTCGCTGGTGGAGGTCGAGGGCATGTGCGTGAGCGACGCGGAGGAGGAGGCCGACAACTCCCCCAAGATGCACTGCAGCGCCGAAGGGGAATGGCTGGTGCCTATTGGGAAATGTATATGTAAAGCTGGATTTCATCAGAAAGGGGACGCATGTGAACGTGAGTGCCTTTTCAGAGTGAAAACATATTTTTAGTAGTAGCTAATGGTATTGACTGATTCGCAGAGTTTGAGATGATTCTTGTTGAATGAACTTTTAGATATCAGTCCCCCCTGACTGATATCTAAAAGTTAGTTCAACATGAATCCTGGATTTCACACCACAAAAAGCATGCCAAGAAAAAAATATCATAAACTGGGGAGTATTTGTGTTTTGATTACGTAAAGCAGGTAAATGACAATTTCGGCTTCGCTGGCTGAATAGAGGTTTTGGCAAATGGGATTAAAGCAGCATGGATAAAGTATTGAGGCCAGACATCTTCAGTGTAATAATTGGAATCTGTGTTAATTGATTACAGGGCTCTTAATATAAAGCCATGAATCTGTTGGGACTGGGGTTAAATAATAACTTGAGTTTAGCTCCTCTCTTTCTTACTGGCAGCAAGCCTAGACATTCGCCAGCAGAATACACAGGTGTAGAGGAAGTCCAGCCCGTCTTTCTGCAGCTTTCTACCCTGGCCAAATGACCCTGACAGAGAGGAAAAACAAATAGCTGCCCTACTGTGGCATTTAGGCCTCAGGATATTTAGGAAGGAGCCCAACAGGAAGGGAAAATACACGCTCACTGTGGCTCAGTGTTTCGTTGTTGTGGTGCCGGATTGTGCTGCTACACTTAACAATAACACGCTTTCTGTCACTAAACACTCAGAGGATTATTTTCAGTGGCCACCTGACTCAAAAATCATTATGGATTAAAAGGAGGTGACTTAGGTCACAGAACTTAAGTGGCCTGCCTTGTCAGCCGAGGCTCTTTTTTTTTTTGGCAAAGTGGGCAACCTCAATCTAAGCAGTTTATGAGGAAGCAGCAGCCATTAATAATTGAATGGAATGCGTCTATGAACAAATTAGTGTCCTTGGCAGACAAGCTTTTATGCCACGCTGTCATCCATTAGAGACCCCACTGAGGGAGGTGTGTTAATGAAATATATTAGGCCATGTAATTTAGAGCAGCACAGCCCGTCTCAAGTTGTGCTATGTCTCTAATGTTAGTCGGCTATCGCTGATTCAACCCCGTGGAGCTGCTTTTTATTGTTCTTGTTGTTTTAATATGCATAGATGTAAGATCCAGTTGTGCCTTTTGGTGGAAAGAAAGCCCCCCGATTTATTTCCACAGGGAGAGCTATGCGGCAGAACAATCAATAGCTCTGGCTTGTCAAAGTAATTTTAGCTACCTTTTCTTATTATGTCTTGAAGCCCTCAGAACAGAAGACTGTTGCATCTTTATTAATTAATCTGTTCATGTGTCAACTGAAACAAATACCTCGATACAGGCGTCAGTACAGACAACCTACCCTCTGGTTGTTTAAAACCTGAGGAGGAAGGCTCCTTAATGTGTATGTGGATCAAATTCGTGTCTTGACACTGCACCTTTATGAGCTTTATCTCCACTGAGGCATGAGAAGCCTTTGTATTAAGGGGTAGTTAATCTAAATAAAATGAGAATCACGGTGCACCATCAGCACTTCTTCCAGCAGCTCCACTGACATTAAATTGTCCATTCAGTAGTTTCCCCCAGCACAATCTAAAAGCTATTCAAAGTATTTCTATCAGCTGAACAGCAGAGCAATAAGTTCAAGTGGCTGTGACCGTTAAAAATGTGAAATTCTGGCATTTGGACCTCAGACTAGCTTGTAAAAGAACATCTTTATAGTGGTGTTCAGTAAGTTTCAGTCCAAACAGGTGTTTCTACCTGTTTTTGAATGTGCTGAAGATGCAGTCTGCTGTCATAGAGAACATTTGTACAAATGGGGATAACAGTGCACGCTATGTACGCATAAAAAGTGGTGGAATATAAAGAATAAGAAAAAAGGACGTTCAAACCCATCCAACTTTCACACCTCTGCACATCTGACCAATCGCTGCATAAAATGGGTATAGTTGTCAGAATGTCGGTTTAGGAAACTTATAAAAGTTGTTGCAAACCCCCTTATTCCATCCCTTGAACTTTTCCACTAGCCAGCAAAAAAGCGCATTTTCATGTAACCGTTCAAACATCTTTACTGTAGATTGCCTCCCTAGATGCTCTAAGACGGTCCTTAACTGGCCTATTTTAGTATCTGCAGTGCGCCACGATGATAACATGGCCGCCGAGTAAAATATTCAGCCAGAGGGCGGGTGCAGGTGGAGTAAGCGAGTTGAGCTGTCAGTCATGTCATTTGAGGAGCCCCCTCTGTGGATGCAAAGGCCTCCTCCGAAACGTGTTGTGATCCACTCATTCATCACCGTCAGCAAAGAGGGACCCCTTGTCTTTCACCCCTATGCCCCACCCCCCCCTCCCCCTGTCTCTCTTTAACTCTTTGTGTGGCAATCTGTGCCAGTAAATGTCACTCTTCTTCTCCGCCCGCTGCGCTCAGTGGTCTCAGTGTAATGGGTGTTGAAAAAGGCCAGTTGAAGTGTCCCCGGCCTGCGCGGGCTTCATTTTGCGAAGAAGTGCGTGTTGTGAAAATAGCGCCCATTCATCCGCTGGTCTTGTTTAGCGCTGGCTACTGGTTGCAGTGGAGCCACAGAGTCGATTAGACGGAGAGAGGGCCCTTGTGGGAGGACATTGGGGTCTTTGTTTCACTCTGTCCCAGGAATGTATGTTGTCCGATTTTGACACATCACATCATTGTGGTACTAAGTAACCAGTGCCTGAGAAATGATTAACTGTTGACCCTCGACCAAAAAAAGGGAGATGCCTCTATCTGGTAGACAACAGATAAAACCAGGCGTATCTCGCTGCTATCGGCGCATGCTAACAAGAGAATTAATGAGAGGATACAGCATCCTGTAGACGCTGGCACCATCCATCTCGACTGTCAGGGAGTTGGACAGAAGTTAGTTGGAGACTGATTGATGATGGAACCCCGAGGGAGTGGGCTTAGCAGTTGGGGTCTGACCGCGACAGCTAACGTGTATGGAAGAAACCAGGCGGGCTGGCCGGCCAGGCCCAGCTCCAGGCCTGGAGATAAAGCTGCACTTAGCATTTCAAATGAAGCCAGGAAGGCAAGAGTCAGGAGGTCCTCATACATCTTGATGCTCCCCTGATTGATAAGGTGTGAATTTAATACACCAAATGGCTGTCTTTACAACTGCTCCAGAGCTTAATTATGCAAATGACAGGTGTGTGCCGAATCCACAGGAGACCCAAATGGACCTAAATCACTCAAGACTGAAATAAATTGGTGACGGATGGGAGCTCGTCCTGTCACTGCCAGTGTCTGCCTCCTGTGAATACTAGCATTCTTCCACAGCCCGAGGCTTTTCCTCCTTGTTGTCTTGGCCTGGCAGGTAGCAGTCAGACACACAGATGTGGTTCTCTGCTCAGGATATTACTTCAAAGTACAACTGACAGTGTCCTAAAATGGATCACTTAGGAGGACTTTGAGACATGAGATTTGGAGAAACCAAAATGTTTAGATTAATTATGGTTTACATTGTCATACCACTGTACACGGACTATACAATTTTGCCGACAATAGACAAAACAAGACATTTGAAGATGTCAGCTTGGCATTTGGTGATGGGTATTTTTTATTATTTCTCTGGCTAAACATTTAGAAAAATTGTAGGGCTATAACTATTAGTTAACATTGTTTTCATTTTTTTTTTTACCATTTTCTTTTGTTATCCATGAATTATTTGGTCAGCAAACAGTGAAAAATGCCCATTGCATGTTTCCATCACCCATGGCAACATCTTTGAATGAGTTTTTTTTGTGCAACCAACAGTCCAAACTCCAAAGATATTTGGTGTGCTATCATAAAAAAAGACAGAAAACACTAGAAAAGTTGGTTTTGGTGAACTTTTCTAGTAACTTTTGTAATTAGTTTTAGTTAGCTGTCCAGGACTATTAGTTTTCATTATGGATTACATATCTGCATCAAGCATAATCATTTACTTTCTCGATGCACCCACTGTCCTAAAAGTAGTTTAGTACTGATGTCCTACATTAGAGGATTTTCAGTATCGCCCCAAAAATAGGCTGTGAGTGCTCTGTATGCTGCATGTAGGTGGACAAAACAAAGAAATAGTGATTTCATAGTACATTTTTGCAGTACAGAGAACAATGGTTATTCAAATGAAAGAAAGGGTGTTACCTTTCAGTTGGAGTTACTGTACTGTGAACAGATGTAGACTTATCTCCACCACATGACCAGGAGATATTACTGTATTGCTGTGCAGTTCTTTTACTCTGAGTCCTTCTCATTAGCAGCATGATAGCAGCATTGGCAAGCTGTAATAAAGCGTATTTATTTTACTTCCACATCCAGTGCCCCCTTTTTAAAGATATGCTTCCAGATGAGAAGTAAAAGCGAAAATACGTTGTTTCACAGCGTACACTTGCTTGAGCGGGTGCCAGCAGCACTTCCTGTGGGATCCGGCTGACCTGTCAACAAGTCAAATTAAATACAAAATTCCTCAGTATATCGTTCACAAAGTAGTCTGGTCTTGGTAAATATTTGTCTCAAAGTTAAATTCATACGAGCTGCAGCAGCTCCTGTGCTGAAACAAAGGCAAGAAAACAAAAGAGCTTTCATGATTTTCTCCGACTGGTTTCCAGGTTTATAGATGTATCTCTGAGGTAAAGATGGGTCTGAAACCCACAATCTAAGCACCGAGAGCTGAGCTTAAAGGAGGACACGAGGCAGCCAGTCTCTGGTCACTGGTAATGGGTTTGTCTCTCACCTCTGCTGATAAGCTACAGCTACCGACTCATGCATATATGAATATCAAGCAGCCGATGGGAAAGCTCATTCCACTCAACTGTAGGCACACAAACCTTGTTCAGAAAACACTATTAGGAGCATTGAAAACAAATCTCATGGGGATATTTTCCAAATACTAGTAAGCTTGTGGTTCGTTGCTCTTAACTCCTGAACTCCTGAAGGCTGTTTTTTGCTCAGGGCATAGTCAGACATTATTAAAGTCAGATTATTTTGTCTTCTGAGACACAGCATGT